ATAAAATTTAATAAGCAAAGATTAAAAAATTAGGAAAAGTGTCAAAATTTAATGGAAAAGAAATAAAAAATGAAAATAAAAATAAAATAGATAATAAAAATAATAAAAAAATGAGAAAATAAATAATTAGTAGAAAATAATGATAAAAATTAATAATACCATGGAAATAAAATGGAAAATAAAGTAAAAAAATGAAAATAAAAATAAATAGGGCATAAATTAAAGTATAAATTAAGAACAGGAAAATTAATAAGTAAAAATGAAATTAAAGAAAATGAACTAAATTAAAATTCGAATTAAAATTAGAATTAGAATTAAATTTAAATTTAAAATTAAAATAAAGTTAAAGTTAAAATTAAAATTAAAATTAAAATTACAATTAAAATTAAAGTTAAATTAAAACGAAATTATATTTCAAACTGAAAATAAAAGGAAAAAATAAAAATAAAATTAAAGAGAAAACCACAATTAAAATGGCCATGAATATGCAAATTTAACCAAATGAGACGGACTCAAAATGCAAATTCAAACCAATCAACACAAAGACAACGAAACCGATCAACACAAAGACAACGAATCTGATTGGCTGAGGGGGAATTGGGGGCAGAGCTTCGGCTTTGGCAGGAAATGGCTTTGGCGCCTCTGGTGGGACCGACCCGACCAATCCCGGCATTCCCGGGATGTCCCACGGGGTCTTCTCCTCCCTCTGTGGCCACCTGGGGTGGGAGGATCTCCTGGTGTCCCCATGGATGTTCCTCCAGGAGCTGAGGGACACCTCGGAACCCCAGGAGAGATTTGGGATCCAAAATCGGGGTCTTCTCCTCCCTCTGTGGCCACCTGGGGTGGGACCTTCTCCTGGTGTCCCCCCTCCCATGGATGTTCCTCCAGGAGCTTAAGGAGACCTCAGAACCCCAGGAGAGATTTGGGATCCAAAATCGGAGTCTTCTCCACCCTCTGTGGCCACGTGAGGTGGGACCTTCTCCTGGTGTCCCTCCATGGATGTTCCTCCAGGAGCTTAAGGAGACCTCAGAACCCCAGGAGAAATTTGGGATCCAAAATCGGGGTCTTCTCCACCCTCTGTGGCCACCTGGGGTGGGACCATCTCCTGGTGTCCCCATGGATGTTCCTCCAGGATCTGAGGGACACCTCGGAACCCCAGGAGAAATTTGGGATCCAAAATCCCAAAGTTCCCAAATCCCCAAATCCCAAATCCTCCAGGATTCCCAATCCCACCTCATCCGTGACCCACCAGGAGGTGACATCGAGTCGTGGGGACCTCCAGAGGGTGAAGGGTTTGGGACAACCAATCCCAAGGCTGCAGAAGATCTCCTGAAATTCCCAAATTTCTCAAATTTCTGTCAAGTTTGGGATCCAAAGCTACTGGAGAAGGAACATCTGGAGGTGGGAATGATGGAAACCATGGCATCCTGGAATTTTGGATCCAAAGCTACTGGAGAAAAAACATCTGGAGGTGGGACCATGGAATCCTGGAATTTTGGATTCCAAGCTACTCCAGAAGAAACATCTGGAGGTGGGAATGATGGAAACCATGGAATCCTGGAATTCTGGATCCAAAGAAGGAACACCAGGAGGTGGGAATGATGGTGGAAACCATGGAATCATGGAATTTTGGATCCAGAGCTACTTGAGGAGAAACATCTGGAGGTGGGAATGATGGGAACCATGGAATCCTGGAATTTTGGATCCAGAGCTACTCGTGAAGAAACATCTGGATGTGGGAATGATGGGAACCATGGAATTTTGGCATCCAAATCTACTTGAGGAGAAACATCTGGAGGTGGGAATGATGGAAACCATGGAATCCTGGAATTTTGGATCCAAAGCTTCTTGAGAGGAAACATCTGGAGGTGGGAATGATGGAAACCATGGAATCCTGGAATTTTGGCATCCAAAGCTACTGGAGAAGGAACATCTGGTGGTGGGAATGATGGAAACCATGGAATCCTGGAATTTTGGCATCCAAAGCTACTGGAGAAGGAACATCTGGTGGTGGGAATGATGGAAACCATGGAATCCTGGAATTCTGGATCCAGAATTACTTGAGGGGAAACATCTGGAGGTGGGAATGATGGTGGAACCATGGGATCATGGAATGGTTTTGGTGGGAAGGAACCTCTGAAGGTTGGGTTGGATGGAACTTCTGGGGGTGGGAGAAGTTCCAGGAGCAGAGGTGAGGACAATCCTGCAGCAAAGGTGTCAAAGCTCAGTTCCTGTTGGATCTCCTGTGGGATTGGTGGGAAGGGCCCCACAGCCCCAGGTGCACCTCCAGATGTTCTGGATGAGCTCCTCATCCACCTTTCCATGAGGAGACTCACTCAAGAGGAAAGGATCCAAATCCATGGGTTGGGACATGGAATCATGGAATGGTTTGGGTCCAAAGCTACTGGAGAAGAAACATCTGGAGGTGGGAATGGTGGAACCGTGGGATCATGGGATGGTTTGGGCTGGGAGGAACTTGAGAAGTTCCAGGAGTGGAGGTGACACTGATCCCACAAAGGTGTCAAAGCTCAGTTCCTCTTGGATCTCCTGTTGGATTTCTGGGAAGGAAAATGGTGGGAAAAGCCTCAGAGCACCAGGTGCAGCTCCAGGAGATGTTCTGGATGAGCTCCTCATCCACCTTTCCATGAGGAGACTCAGCCAAGAGGAAAGGAACCAAATCCATGGGTTGAGACATGGAATCATGGAATGGTTTGGGTCCAAAGCTACTGGAGAAGGAACATCTGGAGGTGGGAATGGTGGAAACCATGGAATCATGGAATGGTTTGGGTTGGGAGGAACTTCAGGGATGGGAGAAGTTCCAGGAGCAGAGGTGAGAATGATCCCACAGCAAAGGTGTCAAAGCTCAGTTCCTGTTGGATTCTGGGAAGAAGGGTGGGAAAGGTCCCACACCAGATGCACCTCCAGGAGATGTTCTGGATGAGTTCCTCATCCTTTCCATGAGGAGACTCAGCCAAGAGGAAAGGAACCAAGTCAACAGTTTGGGACATGGAATCATGGAATGGTTTGGGTTGGAAGGAACCTCTGAAGGTTGAATTGGAAGGAACTTCTGGGGATGGGAGAAGTCCCAGGAGCTCAGGTGAGAACAATCCTGCAGCAAAGGTGGAACAGCTCAGTTCCTGCTGGATTCTGGGAAGGAAAATGGTGGGAAAGGCCCCATGGGTGCACCTCCGGAAGATGTTGTGGAGGAATTCCTCATCCTTTCCGCGAGGAGATCAATCCAAGAGGAAAGGAACCAAATCCATGGGTTGGGACATGGAATCATGGAATGGTTTGGGTCCAAAGCTACTTGAGAAGGAACATCTGGAGGTGGGAATGGTGGAAACCTTGGAATTGTTTGGGTTGGAAGGAACTTCAGGGAATGGGAGAAGTTCCAGGTGTGGTGGTGACACCAATCCCACAGCAAAGGTGTCAAAGCTCAGTTCCTGTTGAATTCTGGGAAGGAGAAGGGTGGGAAAGGTCCCACAGCACCAGGTGCAGCTCCAGGAGATGTTCTGGATGAGCTCCTCATCCACCTTTCCACCAGGACACTCATCCAAGAGGAAAGGAACCAAATCCATGGGTTGAGACATGGAATCATGGAATGGTTTGGGTCCAAAGCTACTGGAGAAGAAACATCTGGAGGTGGGATTGATGGAAACCTTGGGATGGTTTGGGTTGGAAGGAACTTCAGGGGATGGCAGAATTTCCAGGAACGGAGGTGACACCAATCCCACAGCAAAGGTGTCAAAGCTCAGTTCCTGTTGAATTCTGGGAAGGAGAAGGGTGGGAAAGGCCCCACAGCCCCAGATGCACCTCCAGGAGATGTTCTGGATGAGCTCCTCATCCACCTTTCCACCAGGACACTCATCCAAGAGGAAAGGAACCAAATCAACGGGTTGGGACATGGAATCATGGAATGGTTTGGGTCCAAAGCTACTGGAGAAGAAACATCTGGAGGTGGGAATGATGGAAACCTTGGAATCATGGGATGGTTTGGGTTGGAAGGAACTTGAGAAGTTCCAGGAGTGGAGGTGACACTGATCCCCCAAAGGTGTCAAAGCTCAGTTCCTCTTGGATCTCCTGTTGGATTTCTCAGAAGGAGAAGGTTGGGAAAGGCCCCACAGCACCAGGTGCAGCTCCAGGAGATGTTCTGGATGAGCTCCTCATCCACCTTTCCATGAGGAGACTCAGCCAAGAGGAAAGGAACCAAATCAATGGGTTGAGACATGGAATCATGGAATGGTTTGGGTCCAAAGCTACTGGAGAAGAAACATCTGGAGGTGGGATTGATGGAAACCTTGGAATGGTTTGGGTTGGAAGGAACTTCAGGGGATGGGAGAATTTCCAGGAACGGAGGTGACACCAATCCCACAGCAAAGGTGTCAAAGCTCAGTTCCTGTTGAATTCTGGGAAGGAGAAGGTTGGGAAGGGTCCCACAGCACCAGGTGCACCTCCAGGAGATGTTCTGGATGAGCTCCTCATCCTTTCCATGAGGAGACTCATCCAAGAGGAAAGGAACCAAATCAATGGGTTGAGACATGGAATCATGGAATGGTTTGGGTCCAAAGCTACTGGAGAAGGAACATCTGGAGGTGGGAATGGTGGAAACCTGGGAATTGTTTGGGTTGGAAGGAACTTCAGGGAATGGGAGAAGTTCCAGGTGTGGTGGTGACACAAATTCCACAGCAAAGGTGTCACAGCTCAGTTCCTGTTGAATTCTGGGAAGGAGAAGGGTGGGAAAGGTCCCACAGCCCCAGGTGCACCTCCAGATGTTCTGGATGAGCTCCTCATCCACCTTTCCACCAGGACACTCATCCAAGAGGAAAGGAACCAAATCAATGGAATCATGGAACGGTTCGGGCTGGAGGTGACCCCAAAGACCATCCAGGGACACCTCCCACTCTCCCATCTCTCTCCAACCCCCATCCAACCCGGCCCGGAGACCCTCCCAGGCACGGAGGACCACCCCGGAATCCACCGCGCCGCGGTTCCCCGCTCACCTTTGGTGTCGTTCACCGGGTCCATGTGCCGGTAGATGTACCCCTCGAGGTAGGAGTGGAACTTGGGCGTGGGCGGGAAGAAGGCCAAGCAGATGGCCATCAGCTCCCAGCCGCGCGCCAGGCTCTCGTAGCGGAAGTTCTCGGTGGTCTGCCGGCACAGCTGGATGTAGAGCTCGTCCCGCAGCCCCTGCACGCTCCACCCCTTGGTGGCCACCTCCAGCGCCACGCTCAGCCGGTCCGTCTTGGCGCGCCGGTCGCCCATGTACATCTGGATCAGCTTGAAGATCTCGCACGCCTCCTTCTTGACGCTGCGGTCGTTGGTCATGATCATGGGCTTCTTGATGGACTCGCTGCTCCAGGCCAGCATGTTGGCGATGGAGACCTTGCGGCGGAAGAGGCCCTGCGTGTGCTTGTTGAAGTGCTTGGAGGCCCAGTTCTCGATGTCCGTCTCCGAGGACGGCTTGCGCAGCGTGAACGCCGGGAAGACGCAGCTGGCGCTCGGCATCATGGCGCGCGCCGGCCGGCCGCCCTCGAACGGCGCGCACGCGCCCAGGTCCTCCGACTGCGGGGCACGGGAGGGGGGAGTGAGTGATCGATCGAGTGATCGATTGATCGATTGGTTGGTTGGTTGGTTGATCAATTGATGGAGAAATGGAGCAGCCAATAATTCAGTGAAACAATCGAGCAATGGCTCAATCAATCAATCAATCAACAAACCATCAACCAACAAACCAACCAATAAATCAACCAAACCAACCAACCAACCAATGGCTCAATCAATCAATCAACCAATCAACCAATAGATCAATCAACAAACCAATCAACTGACCAATCAGTAAACCAATCAGGTCCTCCGACTGCGGGGCACGGGAGGGGGGAGTGAGTGATCGATCGAGTGATCGATTGATCGATTGGTTGGTTGGTTGGTTGATCAATTGATGGAGAAATGGAGCAGCCAATAATTCAGTGAAACAATCAAGCAATGGCTCAATCAATCAATCAATCAACAAACCATCAACCAACAAACCAACCAATAAATCAACCAAACCAACCAACCAATGGCTCAATCAATCAATCAACCAATCAACCAATAGATCAATCAACAAACCAATCAACTGACCAATCAGTAAACCAATCAGGTCCTCTGACTGCGGGGCACGGGAGGGGGAAGTGAGTGATCGATTGAGTGATCGATTGATCAATTGGTTGGTTGGTTGATCAATTGATGGAGAAATGGAGCAGCCAATAATTCAATGAAACAATCAAGCAATGGCTCAATCAATAAATCAATCAACAAACCATCAACCAACAAACCAACCAATAAATCAACCAACCAACCAACCAATGGCTCAATCAATCAATCAACCAACCAACTGATCAATCAACAAACCAATCAACTGACCAATCAGTAAACCAATCAGGTCCTCTGACTGCAGGGCACGGGAGGGGGCAGTGAGTGATCGATTGAGTGATTGATCTGTTGGTTGGTTGGTTGATCAATTGATGGAGAAATGGAGCAGCCAATAATTCAGTGAAACAATCAAGCAATGGCTCAATCAATAAATCAATCAACAAACCATCAACCAATAAATCAATCAGTCAACCAACCAACCAACCAACCAACCAATGGCTCAATCAATCAATCAACCAATAGATCAATCAACAAACCAATCAACTGACCAATCAGTAAACCCATCAGTCAACCAACCATCTTATGGCTCAATCAATCAATTAACCAATAGATCAATCAACAAACCAACCAACTGACCAATCAGTAAACCAATCAGGTCCTCCGACTGCGGGGCATGGGAGGGGGGGAGTGAGTGATCGATTGATTGATCGATTGATCGATTGGTTGGTTGGTTGATCAATTGATGGAGAAATGGAGCAGCCAATAATTCAATGGAATAATCGAGCAATGGCTAAATCAATAAATCAATCAATCAACAAACCATCAACCAACAAACCAACCAATAGATCAACCAACCAACCAACCAATGGCTCAATCAATCAATCAATTAACCAATAGATCAATCAACAAACCACCCAACTGACCAATCAGTAAACCAATCAGGTCCTCTGACTGCGGGGCACGGGAGGGGGAAGTGAGTGATCGATCGATCAGTTGATTGGTTGGTTGGTTGATCAATTGATGGAGAAATGGAGCAGGCAATAATTCAATGAAACAATCGAGCAATGGCTCAATCAATAAATCAATCAACAAACCATCAACCAACAAACCAACCAATAAATCAATCAGTCAAACAACCAACCAACCAACCAATGGCTCAATCAATCAATCAACCAACCGATCAATCAACAAACCAACCAACCAACAAACCAACCAACCAATAAACCAATCAGGCAGGCAACCAACCAACCAACCAATCAAAGGCTCAATCAATCAAACAACCAACCAATAGATCAATCAACAAACCAATCAATGAATAAGCCAATCAATGAAACAACCAGTAAACCAATCCGTCAACCAATCAATCAACCAACCAACCAACGAACTGATCTGACAAACCAATCAACCAATCAACAAATCAATCAATCAATCAACCAACAAACCAATCATCCAGCCAATAAATCAGCCAAGAAGCTGATCAATCGACCAACTGACAAGAGGAGAAACCAAAGAGAAACCAACCAACCAACCAATGAACTGATCTGACAAACCAATCAATCAATCAATCAATCAACCAATCATCCAAACAATAAATTAGCCAACAAGCTGATCAATTGATCAACTGACAAGTGGTGAAACCAACCAACCAATCAACCAACCAACAAACCAATCAGTCAACCAACAAATCAATCAATCAATCAATCACCAACCAACAAATCAACCAACCAACCAATGAATTGATCTGACAAACCAATCAACCAATCAATCAACCAACAAACCAATCAACCAACCAACAAATCAACCAACAAACCAATCAACCAATCAACCAATTAATTGATCTGACAAACCAATCAACCAACCAACCAACCCACCCCCCCCCACCCAACCATTGCCCCATTCCGAGGTTTCCCTCCGGCCTCGTCCTCTCCAGGAGCTTCTCCTCAGTCCCACCACGGCCGGGTGCCGCACCATTGGCCGGCCCCGAGTCCCACCCTGGCCAGGTGCCACACGATTGGCCAGCCCCGAGTCCCACCACGGCCGGGTGCCGCACGATTGGCCGGCCCCGAGTCCCACCACGGCCGGGTGCCGCACGATTGGCCGGCCCCGAGTCCCACCACGGCCGGGTGCCACACGATTGGCCAGCACCGAGTCCCACCCTGGCCAGGTGCCACACGATTGGCCAGCACCGAGTCCCACCGTGCCGCACGATTGGCCGGCCCCGAGTCCCACCACGGCCGGGTGCCGCACCATTGGCCGGCACCGAGGCGGGCCCGGCACCGATTGGCTGCAGGAGGGAGGGAGGGGACAGTGGGGACGAGTGACAGCCGGGCTGTGCCCCCTCTTGGCCAGAAGAACTTGGTGGCAACATGGAGGGAACAAAGTGGGGGTGGCTTTGGGTTCCTCCCATATTTTGGGGACACCTGGGACACGCCCACCCTTAACAGCCCCCGGGACAGCCAATCACCTTCCAGGAGCGGCCACAGGAGGAGGGTGGTGGCTCCTCCAAGCCGTGAGGAACACGGATGGTCCTTCTGAACTTCCGGAGGGACAGGAGATGCTCAGGGTTGGACCTCTGCAGAGCAGCCGGTGGGAAGGACCCAGAGGACCTCTGTGGACCTGTGTCCTCCTCCTGGTGGCACCGGTGGGTGTCAGCCCAGGAGGTGGAGGGACGCCCCAACAGTTGGTGGCCACCATGGAGGAGATCAATGAGGGACAACTGGGATGGACCCAGAGGAACCCAGTGTCCTCCTTCTGCTGGTGGAACCAGCACAGCTCATGGATGTCACCTCAGCAGATGGTGGCCACCATGGAGGAGGCCAACAAGGGACAACTGGGATGGACCCAGAGGACCTCTGTGGACCTGTGTCCTCCTCCTGGTGGCACCAGTGGATGTCACACCAGGAGGTGGAGTCACCAACAGCTGGTGGCCACCATGGAGGAGGTCAATGAGGGACAATTGGGATGGACAAAAGGAGTCACCAACAGGTGGTGGCCACCATGGAGGAGACCAATGAGGGACAACTGGGATGGACAAAAGGGCCCAGAGGAACCCAGTGTCCTCCTTCTGCTGGAACCAGCACAGCTCATGGATGTCACCCCAGGAGGTGGAGTCACCAACAGCTGGTGGCCACCATGGAGACCAACGAGGGACAATTGGGATGGGCAACTGGACAATTCTGGACAGTTCCGTGGTCCTCCAGCCAGCCAAGGTGGTTCCATCATCTCTTCTGCCCGTCCAGGCCAGCACCACCAGGTTTGGAGGCCATGGGGAGGTGACCCACGGCAGGGAAGGACGTGCCACACCATGCAGAGGTGACACTGATGTCCCCACCTCGGTGGCCCTGGGCAAGGTGACGCCAGCCCTGCCACGGACTCGGGGCTGGGCTTCAGATGAGGAACAGAAGAAAAGCAGAAGGTGGAAAGACCCAGGAGGTGGAAAATCCAGGAGGGGGACAAGGAGGCCACCCAAAGAGCCACCAGAGCTGCTGGCAGCTGAACTTCTGCTGAGCTTCTGCTCCTTCAAACAAGTCAAGGTTCTTGTCTCCAACCACTCGTCCTGTTCCAACGTGGAGATCTCTCCATGGACATCGCTCCACCCCCATCTTGACCACGGTGACGATGGTGGGAACATGGGATGGGGACACAGGATCTTCATCCCTCAAGGAACCCAGTCCTGGTGTCCCTGTGGAGGTCACCTCACCTCAAAGGTTCCTTCTGTGTCCTCCAACTCAGCTGAAGGTCCATGAGGTTTCTACTGAGCTTCTGCTCCTTCAAACAAGTCAAGGTTCTGGTGTCCAACCACTCATCCTGTTCCAATGTGGAGATCTCTCCATGGACATTGCTCCACTCCCATCTTCACCATGGTGATGATGGTGGGGACATGAGATGGGGAACCTTCATCCTTTAAGGAACCCAGCCCTGGTGTCCCTGTGGAGGCCACCTCACCCCAAGGGTTCCTTCTGTGTCCTCCAACTCAGCTGAAGGCCCATGGGGTTTCTACTGAGCTTCTTCAAACAAGTCAAGGTTCTGGTGTCCAACCACTCGTCCTGTTCCAATGTGGAGATCTCTCCATGGACATCGCTCCACCCCCGTCTTCACCATGGAGATGATGGTGGGGACATGGGATGGGGACACAGGATCTTCATCCATCAAGGAATCCTGAATCTTCATCCCTCAAGGAACCCAGCCCTGGTGTCCCTGTGGAGGCCACATCACCCCAAAGATTCCGTGTCCTCCAACTGGTCAGCTGAAGGTCCATGGGGTTTCTACTGAACTTTCACTTCTTCAAACATGTCAAGGTCCTTGTCTCCAACAACTTGTCCTGTTCCAATGTTGAGATCTTCCCATGGACATCGTTCCACTCCCATCATGACCATGGTGATGATGGTGGGGACATGGGATGGGGACACGGGATCTTCATCCCTCAAGAAACTGGAGGCCACTTCACCCCAAAGGTCCTTCTGTGTCCTCCAACTGGTCAGCTGAAGGTCCATGGGGTTTCTACTGAGCTTCTGCTTCTTCAAACAGGTCAAGGTTCTGGTGTCCAACCACTCGTCCTGTTCCAATGTTGAGATCTCTCCATGGACATCGCTCCACTGCCATCTTCACCATGGTGATGATGGTGGGGACATGGGATGGAGAACCTTCATCCTTTAAGGAACCCAGCCCTGGTGTCCCTGTGGAGGCCACCTCGCCCCAAAGGTCCTTCTGTGTCCTCCAATTGGTCAGCTGAAGGCCCATGAGGTTTCTACTGAGCTTCTGCTCCTTCAAACAAGTCAAGGTTCTGGTGTCCAACCACTCGTCCTGTTCCAACGTGGAGATCTCTCCATGGACATTGCTCCACTCCCATCATGACCATGGTGACGATGGTGGGGACATGGGATGGGGACCCTTCATCCCTCAAGGAACCCAGCCCTGGTGTCCCCGTGGAGGCCACATCACCCCAAAGGTCCTTCTGTGTCCTCCAACCTGGGGTTTCCTGGGTGGAAGGAGATGCAGGAGATGCTCGAAGGTCTCACTTGGCCGCTGCTGGGGACGTGGCTCTTCCAAAACCTGGTCCATGGGCTGGACCAGAGCCACCGAGAGAAGGAAATGACCCCACTGGTTGAGGACATCGACCTTCTCCAGCCAAGGAGGGCGTGGCCAGGGAGTGACACCGGAAGTGAAATGTGATGGATCCTCTGCTGCCAGAGCCAACAGGAAATTAACTTCTGCCCTAATTAGCTCTAATTAGCACCTAGATGAACCTGGGGGATGTCCTGGCCTACAAGCAGGGGATGAACCATCGGGTGTCACCTCAAATGGCCGTGACCTCCTGCCTGGCCCATGGGGTGGCCGTGGTGCCACCTCAGGAACTCAGGAATCCTCCAGGGAGAAGGTCCTGGGGCCACCTGGGTGGGGCTGGGACGCACCTGGGTGTGGGGACACTCCATGGTGACAACCACAGCCGTGACCATGGAAGGGACCTTCAAGGTCATCCCGTTCCAATGGCCAGGGACACCTTCCATGATCCCGGGTTTCTCCAAGCCCTGTCCAACCTGGCCTTGGACACTTCCAGGGATGGGGCAGCCACAGCTTCTCTGGGAAACTGTTGTTGGTGTCCCACCACCGTGGTGTCCCTGAGGTCGAGGACAGCAGATGGAACCACCTCAGGAATCCGGGAATCCTCAAGGGAGAAGGTCCTGGAGCCACCTGGGTGGGGCTGGGATGCACCTCGGTGTGGGGACACTCCATGGTGACAACCACAGCCGTGACCATTCAAGGTCCTCCCATTCCAATGGCCAGGGACACCTTCCATGATCCCGGGTTTCTCCAAGCCCTGTCCAGCCTGGCCCTGGACACTTCCAGGGATGGGGCAGCCACAGCTTCTTGGGAAACCATTGTTGGTGTCCCACCACCATGGTGTCCCTGAGGTCAAGGATGACAGATGGGACCACCAGGACAGGAACCTCTGGGGAGCGGAGAAGATTCCCACCACATCTTGTGAAGAAGGCGTGGGATCACCAATGGTGGCAGCTTTTTCTCCTGGCGTGAAGATCCAAAGCGGACCTGGAGCTCTCGAGCTTTGGGTTTGGACCTTCTCCTGCGCTTCAGGAATCTTCTTCTGCTGCTCCACCGATTCCCGTGGACAACAAGGGAATTTTCCAGATGATTTGTCGTTTCCCAGGTCCATGTCCAGGGTCTCCTTCCTGCTGACACCAAATTCCATCTTCCAGGAAGTTCTCCAGGTGGGATTGATCCTCATGGATGGTGTCATCACCTGTTTTTTGGAAGCCCTGACAGCCTTTCCCTGGAGGGGAAGAGATGGATGGAGGACACCCAGAAGATGATGGAGGACATCCAGAAGCTGGTGGAGGACATCCAGAAGCTGGTGGAGAACATCCAGAAGCTGGTGGAGGAAATCCAAGAACCATGGAGACATCTGATGGGATGGAGTTGGGCACATGGGGAGCACCAGCTCCGGCAATTCCAGGTCAGAGCCTCAGGGTCTCCTCTGGAACGGGAGTTTGGATCTCCAGGGAAGGAACCGGCAGCGCACAACCCTGGGGGACAAATCCTGGAAAAGTGGTGGCTCTTTCATCCCAAGGTTTTGAGGGACCACCTTGATAAGGACCGACATCTTTGAAGGACCACCTTGGCAAGGACCAACTCCTTGAAGGACCAACTTGTTTGAGGGACCTTACCTTAGTAAGGACCAACTTCTTTGAGAAACCACCTTGGCAAGGATGAACTTTGAGGGACCACCTTGCCCAAGACCAACATCTTTGAGAGACCACCTTGTTAAGGACCAATTTTGAAGGACCACCCTGGGAATGTCCAATTTCTTTGAAGGACCACCTTGGCAAGGACTAACATCTTTGAAGGACCACCTTGCTTAGCACCAACTTTGAAGGACCACCTTGGTCAAGACCAACATGCTTGAGGGACCACTTTGGCAAAGACCAACTTTGAGGGACCACTTTGGCAGGGACCAAATTCTTTGAGGGACCACCTTGGCAAGGATGAACTTTGAAGATGTTGGCCAAGGACCAACATCTTTGAGGATCACCTTGCCAAGGACCAAGTTCTTTGAGGGACCACCTTGGCAAGAACCAATTTCAAAGGGACCACCTTGGCCAAGACCAACATCTTTGAGGGACCACTTTGGCAACGACCAAATTCTTTGAGGGATCCCCTTGGCAAGAACCAACTTTGAGGGACCACCTTGGCAACGACCGACATCTTTGAGGGATCACCTTGGCAAGGACCAATTTTGAAGAACCACCTTGGCAAGGTCCAACTTTTAAGGACCACCTTCGCCAAGACCAACATCTTTGAGGGACCACCTTGCTTAGGACTGACTTTGAAGGACCACCTTGGCAAGGACCAACTTTAAAGGACCACCTTGCTAATGACCAATTTTGAAGGACCACCTTGGCCAAGACCAACATCTTTGAGGGACCACCTTGGTAAGGACCAACTTTGAGGGACCACCTTGGTAAGGACCAACTTTTTTGAGGGACCAGCTTGATAAGGACCAGTATCTTTGAGGGACCACATTGCTAAGGACCGACTTTAAAGGACCACCTTGCCAAGGACCAACTTCTTTGAAGGACCACATTTCTTTGAGGGACCACCTTGGCAAGGACCAACATTTCTGAGGGATGCCCTTGGCAAGGACCAGCATCTCTGGGGGACTGCCTTGGCAAGAATGAACTTTGAAGGAACACCTTCGTAATGACCAACATCTTTGAGGGACCACCTTGGTAAGGACCAACTTTGAAGGACCACCTTGGCCAAGACCAACTTCTTTGAGGGACCACCTTGGCAACGACCAACATCTTTGAGGGACCACCTTGGTAAGGACCAACATCTTTGAAGGACCACCTTGCTTAGGACAAACTTTGAAGGACCACCTTGGCAACGACCAACATCTTTGAGGGACCACCTTGCTAAGGACCAACATCTTTGAGGGACCACCTTGCCAACGACCAACTTTGAAGGACCACCTTGGCAAGGACCAACTTCCCTGAGGGACCAGCCAGGGATGGGCACTCAGGAACCTCCTGGGAGCTGCGCGGCTCCAGGATCTGCCCCACGGCAGGATAACCAGGATAACCCACAGCACAGAGCTGAGGCCACCATGACCCAGAGATCCCTGTGCCCCACCCCAGGGACCATCCCACTGGAGGAGAAGGATCTTCAACCAGGATTGGTGGTGAAGACCCCCAGACCCGAGAACGTTCCCGAGGGCGTTACCTGAGACGGGTGCAGGTACGGCTCGGGCGACGCCAGGTTGGTCTGCACCGAGACGCTCTTCTCCAGCAGGATCTGCGGGAAGCCCAGCTTCTCGAAGGTGTTCCTCTTCCAGTGCTTGTTCTCCTGCTGCGCCAGCGCCTCGTCCTCGCTGAAGGCCCTCACCACGGGGCCCGGCATGGGCAGCGGCAGCGCGCCGTCGCTCTCGTAGCCCGACCCGTCCTTCTGGGAATCCCAGCTGCTCCTCTGCTTCATGTGGTAGTGCGCCTGCTGCGCCTCCCACGCCAGCCGCGCCTGCGCCAGGAACGGCTCCGGGAACGCCCGCGCCGCCGCCGCCGCCTCCGCCTCGGCCGCCTTGCTCTCCGTCCGGCTCATCGGCGACCGCGCGGGCGCCGCCCGCTCCTCGCCCGGCTCTCCCGGCGCCTCCCGCTCCGCGGAGCCGTCCGCGGAGGAGGCGTCGGCGTCGTGGTTCGCCGAGGGCTTCCGGCTCTTCCTCTTCCTGGTGGAGGGCGAGTAGCCGCCGGAGGACAAGGTGTCCTGCTGACTGGACCACGACATGGAGTCCTCGGCCTGGCCCGCCGGGGCGCCCGCGGGGCCCGGGCAGAAGTCGGCTCCCTCCATGCTGCTGTAGTCGCCCGATCTGACGTCCGGGCGCTGGTCGCGCGCCAGGCAGGGGCTGTGCTGCAGCGAGTAGGAGCCGCCGATGGGGTTGGGGGAGTATTTGTGCCTCAAGCCCGCCTTCATCTTGGGGCTGGAGCCCGACTGCTCCACGTAGACCAGCTGCCGCACGTACTCCTTGCCGGCCGGGCTGTACTCCAGGCTCATGAAGCGCTCGGGGCACTTCTGCTTGGTGAGCACCAGCTGCTGGTAGGGCGAGTTGGCGCCCTGCTTGGGCGACTGCAGGAACGGGTGCGGCTTGCGGACGGGCGACTTCTGCGGCGAGCCGGCCTTGTAGCCGCCGCCGGCCTCGTACTGCATGTCCACGGGCGGCTCGTCGTAGATGGGCGCCTGGTACTCCATGGGCGGCTCCTCGTAGAGCGGCGGCTCGTAGGCGTAGCGCGGCGACGACGGCTGCGACTCGCTCGAGGGCTTGCGGTGCTGCCCCTGCAGCGGCGAGCAGAAGGAGTCGCCGCGGCCCAGCAGCGGCGAGCAGCTGCCGGCGTGCTCGGCCCGCTTCAGGAAGGGCGACTGCTTCCTCTCGGGGAAGAAGACGGAGTTGTCGGCGCTGTCCGAGGAGAAGGTTTGGAGGTTGGGCGACTGCTGGCCGCCCGAGGGGCGGCGGGAGCGGGAGCCGGGCTGGTTCTCCGGGCCGTAGCCGTTGCCTTGGTGGAGGAGGAAGCTGGGCTCGCGGTCCGTCACCTTGATCAGCATCCGCTCCTTGGTGCCGGCGTTCCATCGGAGCGATGAGGTCCTGCGGGGAGGAATGTCATTGGAAGGGAGGGGTCAGAATTCCAACGAAATTTGGGATTGCTGGTGCCGAACCTCCTGGGACTGGAGGATGGACATTCCCAAGTGCTGGAGAGAGATGGAGATGGGAGGGATTGGATGGGGTTGGATCTCGGACAAGGCGTGGAGGGACAGGACACAGGGAATGGCTTCCCACTGCCAGAGGGCAGGGTTGGGTGGGATAACGGGAAGGAATTCCACCCTGTGAGGGTGGGGAGGGGCTGGGATGGAATTCCCAGAGAAGCTGTGGCTGCTCCATGGGAGCGATGAGGTCCTGCGGGGAGGAATGTCATTGGAGGGGGCGGGGTCAGAATTCCATCGAAATTTGGGATTGTTGGTCTTGAACCTCCTGGGACTGGAGGATGAATATTCCCAAGCGCTCAAGGGATGGGAGGGAATGGATGGGGTTGGATCTTGGACAAGACGTGGAGGGACAGGACACAGGGAATGGCTTCCCACTGCCAGAGGGGAGGGACAGATGGGATACTGGGAAGGAATTCTTGGCTGTGAGGGTGCTGAAGGGCTGGGATGGAATTCCCAGAGAATCTGAGGCTGCCCCATCCCTGGAAGCGTCCAAGGCCAGGTTGGATGGGGCTTGGAGCAACCTGGGATAGTGGAAGGCGTCCCTGCCCTTGGAAGAAATTCTCCCGTGAGGAATTCCTCCCTGGCACGGCGGATTTCCATCCCCTCCCTCCCCGCTCCTCGGAGGGAGAGCAGGGATGGATTTTATGGAGCTCCCAGGAGGGATCCCAGCTGGAATTCGCCGTTCCCAAGGCGCAGGGCTGCACATCCTGCCGCCAATCCCACGCTGGAACGGAACATTCCGGAGGCGCCGTCTGCTCTGCCGGCTCATCCCTCCCCAGCTCCCGTTCATTCCCAGACATTTTGTCCCTTCTGTCCAACCCCCCGGGAAAAGGTTGGAGTGACTTAAATCAACGAGTTTTGAGGGAAAAATTCCCAAAAAAAGACACAATTCCCTGCAGGAGGCTCCGCAGCCTCTCCTTGCTTTTCCACCACTTTGTCCTCGCTCCAAGGGGTTTGGGAACAATTTATTCCTTCCCTTTCCCACCTCCGGAGCTCCTGGGGAATTGAGGCTCCTGCCAACTCCTGGCTGTCCGAAAACCTGGATGAGTTTGGGTTCCTCCACCTCATGGAGCCCTTCCAGACCCCCCAAAATTCCATCCACGACCGCAAAACCATGGATTCATGGAATGGTTTGGGCTCAAAGCTCATTAAAAGTTCTTGCCGTGGGTTGGAACATCTTCCACCAACCCCAGGTTGCTCCAAGCCCCTTCCCACCTTTCCCTGCTCCCGAAAAATCTGCAATTCCCGCTCAAACCACGCACAAAAATCTTGGATCGCTCCGTGTTTCTTCTGGAATAGCTGGAGGTCTTTAATCCTCAGGAATAATCTGATTTTTATTCACATATCCCAAAAATAATGAGGAAAGAAAACAGAAGAGCCACAGAGGAGCTGGACTGGAATTTCCAGGGAATCTGTGGCTGCTCCGTCCCTGGAAGTGTCCAAGCCCAGGCTGGACAGGGCTTGGAGCAACCTGGGATGGTGGGAGACGTCCCTGCCTATGGAAAAGGGTTGGAATGAGATGATCCGGAAATTCCCTGAAAAAAAATCCGCGTTTCCACGTTTTCCCCCACGCCCTCCCGAATCCCAAATCCCAAATCCCAAATCCCAAATCCCAAATCCCAAATCCTTGCTAAATCCAGGTGTTTTCCCTCAAACCAGGTGAAACCACCGCTTAATTCCCGGATTTGCTGCCGGCATTAACATTCCATCTGGATCCGAAGGAAAATCCCCGAGGGAGCGGCGGCGCTTCCGTCAAATCTTCAAATCACCTCATCTGGGCCGAGCTTTCAATCCCAAAAATGAAATAAAAGGGAAACAACGTTCCAGAAAGCTCCCTGGGTTATGGTTTGGTGCCCCCCCCGCCTCAAAAATAAAAAAAAAAAGAAAAAAAAGGGAATTTTCTGCCGGCAAAAAGAATCCCAAAAAGGCAAAATTTGGGCTGAAATCGCTGCCCACGAAATCCACGGGATGCTGGCGCCGGCGGAAATTCCGAGTTTTCCTGTTATTTCTGCCTTGGCACCGCGTTCTCCCTGCTGTTCTCTCCACACGGGGGAGGATTTTTTTTTTTTTTTTTTTTTCCTGCTCCGTACATTTCCATGACAAAAGCGCTTCCCAAAAAAATCCCTGCGCATCTCCTGTGCAAGAAATCCGTTCCTTTGGAAATCTGCGCGATTCCCAAATCACTTCCAGCTGGTTTGGGGCAGGATTTTTCCATGCTCTCCTAAAATTTCCTTCTCCTAAATTTCCTTCTCCTAAATTTCCTTCCCGGCTCCAACGTCCCCTCCTTGAAATTCTTCCAAACTTTGGGAATTCAGAGATGGAGGGGACAGGAGAAACCCGGATCCCTCATCCCGGAATTCCTTTTGCTTCCCGTTGTTTTTTCTGCACAGACCCCACACCCGCAGACCCCGCCCCCCCCACCCTCATTTGCATATCATTATTCATTCCAGCACGGCTCAAAATTCCTTAAAAACCCCACGGAAACGACCAAAATTATGGATTTGTCACATTCCCGATGCTTTTAATGGAGCTTTTTTTATTCCCTGACTCCATCAAGGTGGGGCTGAGGGAATAAATCATATTTTAGGAAAATTATTTAAAAATAAAATTTCATTATTTAAAACCAAAATTATTTGGATTTTGATGGGCTTGAGGTTTATAAACAAGAATATTTCCAAACCCGACCCAAACCATGAATTTTTCCAAGATTGCTTCCCCTGCCCCGGTGTTATTTAGACTTTGCAGGTGAAGATTAAAATTTAGAGCCGGGATTAAATGGATTTTCCCCTCCCTGGGAAAAAGCAGAATTATTTTAAAAATATTATTTCATTATTTTAAACCAAAATTATTTGGGTTTTGATGGACTTGAGGTTTATAAACAAGAATGTTTCCAAACCCGACCCAATCCATGCATTTTTCCAAGATTGCTTCCCCTGCCCCGGTGTTATTTAGATTTTGCAGTTGGAAATAAATATTTAGAGCCGGGATTAAATGGATTTTCTCCTCTCTGGGAAAAAGCAGAATTATTTTAAAAATATTATTTCATTATTTTAAACCAAAATTATTTGGTTTTTGATGGAATGAGGTGGCGACATGAGGTTTTTAAAAACAAGAATATTTTCATAACCGACCCAATCCATGAATTTTTCCAAGATTTCTTCCCCTGCCCCGGTGTTGTTTAGACTTTGCAGGTGAAGATTAAAATTTAGAGCCGGGATTAAATGGATTTTCCAGGAAAAAACCCTGGATTTCAATAATTCAAATACCAGAACACAGCAGGATTTTCTGAGAAAAGCAAAATTTTCTCGGGCACCCCCACCATCCCAAATTCCCCCAAAATCCCAAATTCCCACCTGGCTCTTCCGGCCGCGGGATTTGGGAGCATCTTCTGAGCTGAAAATTCCCTTTTCCAGGGCTGAAATTGGCTGGGAATGATGGGAATGATGGAAACAGCCCGGCCCCTCTTCCCTCCCAGCTGCTCCGAGCGCATCCCGCCGGGAATTCCGGGCTCAGGAAAAAACCCTGGAATGGTGCCTGGCAGCACGAAAATATCCGTGGAAAAAAAAAAATCAGGGAAAGGTGAGCGGCAGAGCCTGAGGATGTCCAGGATTCCACCCGGAGCTTCCATCCGGAATTTTCCAGCCGGGAAAATTCCTCAGGGCAGGAATGCAGCCTCTGTAATCGTGCAGAAACTCGTAATTTATGTTAATTTGTAATTTAATTAAGCTGTGTAATGAAATCCCGAAATCCTCCATCCTTAAGGTTTCACCTGCACGCTGTGCTGTTCCCAAAAATTGACACGGAATTCTGCGGGATTCCGTATTTAATAATTAATAATATTTAATATATTTAATAATATATTTAATTTAATAATCCCAAGATTTGGGATTTAATATTTAATAATCCCAAAGTCTGGGATTATTTTTATTTTAAATTCTTTTTAAAATTCTACGTTTTAAAATTTCAAAATTTTTTAAAAATTCCTGCTGGAGCCCTCAAAGTTCTCAGTTTTTGCGGGATTTTGGGGTTCTCACGACCCCACCACGGCCTCTCCAACCTTTCTCCCACACTTCCAATCCCTCTTCCCATTTTTTGGAAGCGTCGCTTCCTCCTCGGAGTTCATTTTTTTAGGAAGCATTTTGATTGGTTTGAAGCTGATTCCTGGAAAAACCGGAATGAGGTGAAATTTGCATAATTTGGGCAATAAAATGGATATTTGGGAAGAAGGTGAGCGCCAGGATCGAGTTTTTCCAGGATAATTTTATGGATACAACAACATCCATGGGATATCCAGGAAGGGGAAAATCCAGTTTGGTATTTTTGGGAATTTTGGAGCGATGGGAATGTTGAATCCCAAAGTTTTTGACATCGAATCTTGGCTTGGTGGAAGTCCACGACCTCCTGAAGCTACGCCGCACACAATTCCGTTCTCCAATGGAATATTCCCAAAGGATTACACCCATCAAAATACCACTAAAAAAAAAAAAAAAAAATTTATTTTATTTTTCCAAAATTTTAATTTTCCAAAATGCAATCCCCGACTCCGGATGGCGCCGTGGGATCACCTGTAGCTCCAAGCCCTCAACACCGAATCTCTCCGTGAAACATCTCCGGAAATTTCTGCGGCTCCGTTGGAATCGGCGTTAATTAACATCCGCGGAAGCTCATCAAGACAGAGGGAGATAACGACCCGCCCCAAACCCATTCCCACTTTTTTTCAGGAGAAGCAGGGCTGGGATGGCGAATTTTTGCCATTTTCCGGTAAAAATTTGGTGGGATGTTTGGGTGGGATTGGTCAGGTCGGGACGTTGGAGGTCACGGATCCACAACCAAAGGATTTTATGGAATGTCCACGATGAGGAAACACCAAAATGAACTTGG